CTGTCTTAGGATAGGCTGTTCAATAATGAAGGCTTGTTCATAGCCATGGCATTAAAGAGCCTCATCAACTAGGTATCCCAGTTAACTGACTTGAAGGTGGAAATATTTCCATCTGCTATTAAAACATAGCTTCTACTAGTTTTCTGCCAGAGACATATTAAGGATTGTATTTTGAGAGTTTTCTAACACACCGCCATTCTTTTCCCCACGTTGGATGTGTAGATTAAAAAGAACACCAAGAACGAACCCTCAAAACATATGCCGATAATACACGTATGTTTATGTAGCCAGCAGTTCCCTTATTTAAAGAGAATGCTCTAAGAATTAAATTTCATAATTTTCTGAAATAGCAAGGACATTTAAAGAGCATCTGTGGATTAGTCTGAGTAAGTTTGTTCTGTAAATTGCTTGAAAAGAAAACAGACTCTTCCTAGGTATTGCAACAAATTGTTCCCAGCACTTCAGCTTAATACACTAAATGAAAATGCAGAGGAAGCAACACAATATTGGATGAACCTGTTTCAGAACATTGGCTCAGGCCACAAAGCAAGTAATTAACAAGCTGAATGAAGCATTTAAGCCCACGCCTTATCATTTATGTAACTAACCTTTGAGTTTTGGACGCACTGGTATGCTGCAGTGAAGCCTACACAGTGTTTCTTTTATGTGTGTGTATTGAGCAAATGGGAAATGCATACCCTGCCATTTGTTTTTCACATTTTCAGCACTTATCAGAGTTCTCTGGCTGAGTGATCTTACACTGCAAAAATGTACGCCTCTTGGTCCTTTTTTCTATAGTGCAGTATAAATCTAGATGAGTCTCAGTCTTGTTGAAATAGTGCGTTATAAACTGAGGTGAGTTCCAGGTTTGTTGGGGGGGGGGGGGAACGGACGTATTCTACTTTTAAGGGTGCTTTTGAGCTTGTTTAAAGCACCATTAGTAGCACTAGAAAAGAATTAATTGAATACCACTTTTCACGAAAGAAATGAACAACAAAAAGAATGGCAGGGGATTCTGCAAACTCCTTGTTTATGGAGGCAGCCTTCGCAAACAGCTTTGAAAACAAAACAGGAATGCTGTGAACCGATGAGGTCTGAAAAGACGTAGTTTCCATCCTTGTAACACATCTGTTTTTCCCATCCTGAGAAATGTTGGCACGTTAGGAATACGGAGACTGCTGGTGACAACGTTAGCTTCCTATAGAGCAACTGAGATTTAAGCGGAGTGTAACATCACCTCTGCACTCAGGGGATGAGTCATTTTGCTTATTAATTCTCTCACTTTCGTCTCTCTCTCCTGTTTTTTTCCCCATCGCTTTGTAACCAGACTTATTTGGAACTCTTGTAAGACAAACACCATTTCTCTTTGGCAGGAGGGGAATAAAATAGCATACTTAACATGGTTATATAACACACTGCTACGCATGCCTAAAATGAGGTCATTTTGATTAATATATTTATCTGTTGTGCAGCTGTAACAGGAAATGTAATTGTGATTAGAAGAGCACCGTTTTATTTAGTCTCTTTGCCATAACGTTCAGTTTTTGTAACTAATATCCCCAAACTTGATGGAAGTTACTTGTTAGTCAGTCATAATTTGTGCCCTAGACTATAGTCCTAGCCCTCCAAACCTTGGGGAATCTTATAGTGTGGAAACACAGCCTCCTTTCTCTCTTCTTTCCTCTGTCAGAAGTTAGGTAAGAACTCTGCAATTATTACATTTATTAGAAGTAATCCAGTAACATATACATAGAAGCAGGAAAGAGAACATAGGCAAACTGTGGCATTCCTTAAAGTTGAAGATGTTGCTGGATGATGGAGAAAGTAAAAGGACAAGAGATGAGTGATGAAGCCAGTTACAGCGGGCCAGGAGAAAAAGCTGAGCAGCATGCTGCAAACGGCTCTAGTATCATCTATTGGAATGAGAGAACCGGTAGGATCTGCTTTTGGAATACAAGCAGATGTATTTTTCTTTTGGGATGTTGAATTGCCATTCTTCAAAGTTCTGACGCATCCGGTTCTATTTCGGTTTGATGACTCCTAACTAGACACGTTAGGCGGCTGCTGCTCAGAAGCCAGCATTTAAAAACACTGTTTTTCTGTTCTACTCTTTCTGGAAAAAAGCTCGTTATTCAAGTGCTTGCTCTAACCTTTAGTTACCCTGGTTGCATAACTGGAGAGCAGCATCCCACCATGCACTTCTGTGACCCACTTGTGCCTTTCCAGTAGTGACTTTGAGTTGTGAAAGGTGTGTCTGCCAAGTTGCTACAGAAACATTTACTCTACTGACCCTGATTTCCTAAATATTATATAGTCATCCTTCACTAAGGCGTAAAAGAACAATGTAAAAGCATGTGAAAAAACCCTAATTCTGCTACATTGAAAATCCTTGTGTATCCTCTTTAGTGCTTGGACTTCTCATTGATAAAAAATACTTGTAGAAACCACTTTTAAATCATTAATGCTTCAGTAATCTTTCAAAATTAATTTTAGATGGTACATTCAGTACTAATAGTCACAGTACAAATCATTGACTCATTCAAGGAAGAGCCTGAATAACAATTGCTTTGTTTAACTAACTTACAGTCTAAATTGTGATGTTCAGCATTCGCATTTTCTAGACTGTCTGCAGACTTGCTAAAATCCTTCCACATTATCATGTCATCTATTATCATGTATTCTACTCATGATAAAAACTCCATGTGGATGAGACTGAATTTCTAATATGTTACATAGAGAAAACTATTACTAGCATTACTTTTACAAAATCTTTCTGTAGCTCATAGAAAACAAAAAAGCATGTGCTTGGTTTTCTTTTCCATCACATAATACAGCCTAAGTCAGTTACATAAATAAAGTCACTTACATAAATAGCTTAATACTCCTTTCATTTATGGCATTATAAATCAAGAGCAGATCTACTGAAACAAAAGATGTTACACTGGCATAAAACCAGTATTGACAGCGTATGCAGGCTTTCATTATATAGATTCTTTCAGCCAGTAATTTTTCTGCTTTAACAGCTTGAAAGCCATCCTATCATAAGATGTAAACTTCATAGCAAGTCTTGCTCTTTATGTCAGTGCTCTGTAGGTAGCCTCTGTATATTAATTTTTGGTATCAATATACAATTTATGTGGTTAGTTAAAAACATAACATTCCTAGTAAAGAAGGCCTGATGACATTATTGTTTACTAGGAAGCATGACTTAATCTGTTCTTCTATTGTGTGGTTTTTGGAGACCATAGTATTAGTGACTGCTGATAAAAATCTGTTTGAAAATTAGAAATACGTTTTAAAAAACCCAAGCCCAGCCCTGCAATAGTTTAGTAATGCAGTTTCTATTCTTCCTTCATCTGTACATCTGGCCAAGAGGATGATAGCTAGCATACCTTACATTGTTACTGATTGTGACCAGTATGAAGACCAGTCAATCCATGACTGCTATAGCAGAGGCTAAATAACCGTTGAATTACAAAGTCAGCTACATCTTTTGAAGATAAAAACGTTGCTGTACCTTTCACTCAGTCATACAGAGAACCACAGCACATTAAGAGATGTTCCAGGATTTTGTGGCATCTTACTCACAGAATAAAAAGTATATTACAGCTGTATGAGAAAATTTTCAAAGCTGTAGCAGGTAACAGCCAGGAGCTATTGTGTGGCATGCCCTTCCCTTTGCCCAGTACAGCACACGGTCCTGATCCAAGTGCCAGTGAAGTCAGTGCAGGTTCTTGTGTCAGGGCATGATATGGGAAGCAAAGGCTGACTGGAATAAGTGGTTTCCCTTGAACTGCTTTACATGATAGAAATCATTAGCAGTTTTGGATGATCATTTTAATATGAAGCATTATGTAAGTGTAGATGACTTTAGAATATTTCAAATATCACTTGACTAAATCTGTGTAGGTACACTATTATAAAATGAGAACACAGTGAGCAAGTAGTTGGGAAATAATTTGCTATCCTATATTTGGTTTAAGTTTTCTCTGCTTTATACTGCATCTAAACACCACTTTCATAACCATTCTTAAAGCTTTCGAAACTAAAATCATAACTTAAAAGGAATAGTTTAAATCGACATGTTCCCAAGCAAAGCTTCAGTTTTGACTGTTTACTATTTCCTGATGGAAAAGCACTTCAACCGAAACACTTCCCTCTACTCAGACACAAATGTATTTTGTTACAGAAAACAGCAGTCTTGACATAATTAGCTGTTGGCTTACCATATGCAGTCTTAGCCTGCGCCCTGGATTCTAAAATAAATACAGGGCCTGAACAAGCTTGTATGAGAGACCAGCAAGCCAATCTCCGATACCACAGGTGGTTGGGACTTGGCAGCAAATCACAAGCATGCCACATCTTGCTTAAATGACAAGGGAAAAGGAACAGCCCATACATATGTAACTTTAAAAAACTTGGGCAACTCTTACACATTTTTAGTAGAATAAGATATGGGGTCACTCCTCTCAGTGTTAGGTTTATGAATAAAACTATTCTCTAGCTTTTTCTATAGAGTTAAGGACTTTCAAAATCCTATGGAACTTCTTGTTAAAGGGTCTTCACTGAAAATACTCCTTTTATCACCTCACAGATGCAGCTTAAGTGCAGCTAGGATTAATTCTTGCCTGAGACCGTAAGTGAAAAGGTATCCTGGTTATAGTTTTAAATCACAGAAACCTGTAAAGCAAACAGTAATGCATGAGAGGTACCAAAGTCCAGAGAAGTGCATGGTAGTGCTGTAAGCCAGGCCCTCTTCAGTTCCCATTATTCTTACCTCACTACAGCAAAGAGGAAAAAAGCACTTGATGTCCTTTACAAGTGATGAGGTTTGAACAACTTCATTTTTGTGGTTTGGTTCCTTCACACCAAGTGGCATTGTGTGAGTGCAGGATCTAGGATTTGTTCTTTGTTTCTTTATCTAAAACACCTTAAAAAGCAGCTCACATGTAATGTTTTTTCACCTCTGTAGTTCTTTGTTATGCAAGCCAAAGAGTAAAGAACACAAAAATTTTAATTAGCAAACAACTCACCACACAGACTTTGTTGGTACAACATAGTTATAAGTACATCTACAAACACATACAGGTTCTTTGGACTATGATTTTTTAAAATATATTTTATATGACGATGTGAACAAATCTGGAAAAAACAAATTACTTCAACCTTATGTAGAGGTAGCTGAACCGTACTCTGTTCAGTGATATGAGAGTATAACTTAAGTTTCAAGTTCATTACAGTGCACAAAAGGATGTTTTACAAACAAATGGAATATACAAGTCCACAAAACTTTTTATTTTAAATGGCTTGATAGATATGTTTCTGGCACTCCTGTAACCACATAGCTTGATGGAATTAAATTGGACAAGCATATGGTGCCAAATTAAGACATCTTACACAGATAGTCTTTTTACTCCTCATTTTTGTACTTCTGTTCCTCACCAGGGAATTATAGAAGCTATTACATTGGTTTTGCTACACTTCTGCTCTGTAAACCTTTGTTCTGCAAGTTGAATGTAAAGATTTAAAGGTGCATATGTTTATATTTATAAAATATATGGCTATGACTCTATTAAAAAGCTCAAGAATGGCAATAACAGAATACAGGCACTTCTATGTGAGGGTTACTTTAGACCTTATGAAACTCCCAAGATTAGTAAGCACTTCACATGATACCTGGATGAGTAAATCAATGTAATAGTTCAGTTTTTTTATTATCCACCATTTTAATCCCGTCTAAGCAGATTAGTTTCTTGCACCCAGACAATATTTATTTAGCAAAGTATTTCAAAATAGTGACTTTGCTGAAACTACCATTTTTCTGTAGCTGTAAGACTTTCACTGATTTACCAGGCTTTGGAATAAACCCCAGATGCTAAACTGTGTGCTGCACCAGTTACAAGTTAGGTTGCGAAGCTGACATTAAATGAGAGCTAAGCAGGGGTTGAGTTAATCTGATGCAGGACTTGGTGGAAATGGGAAGCACCACCCTAAGTGCATATAGTTCCATTGGGTTTCTATGCACAAAAACACTGTAGTTAATTTACGCTTTTTTAAAAATAAGAGTTTGTGAACATGTTCTCCATTCCTAAACACTGCATTTAAATATGACTCCTGTCTGTCATGAATTTAAACACCAGTAAAACTTCAGCACCAAGTAGAAATCATTAAAAGACCATCTAAAACAAAACTTAATTTTATAAAGCTCTTTTTCTACAGCACAGATTAAGCCAGACCTGCTACATCAAAATCCACATGATTTTTTTTAGATTAAAATAATCTTTGGATTAAGAAATCCATGGTTCAGGTGTTCTGTAAGTAGTCACACAGGACAGAAGGATAGGCCAAGCAATAGGTCAGCCAGTCAGTATGACAGCTGATATCTCTTACTGCTACAAGGTAATGGAAGATATCAGCACTTAAAATAAAATTAAAACAAACAACATAAGAGGAACTTCTACAACTAACACCAGAATGTCACTTAAGACTTAGCATGATAATGGCCTATCACACCATTTTATCATTTCATTATTGAAACTACTAAACTATTTTCTACAACTGTGTCTGAGTTCACTGTCAGGTTTCATGATTTTTCCTGATTAATCCAGTCCTGTCTCAGGTTTACTTTCAACCAAGTCATGCTAGCCAAGATAACAGCTATTTTCATGGAAACATATCCCCTTAAGTTACTGCTAGACAAAGGAGCATGTAAGACAAAGCAAAGTTGTTTTGAGTGTCATAAGTCTGTCTATATATGGAAATGAAAAATTAGTATTACTTCCTGCAGAAAACTTCTGTTTTTAATTACAAACCATACAATGTATATGTACAGAGATTTGGAAGGGTGATACAGCCAGTCTTCGTTATTTATTTTAATGTATTTTGTTAAATACTTCATTTACAGAAAAGTAAAGAGATTTCAAATTAACAAAACCATCTCTTACAAATGCAAGTCTAAATCTTTCAAGAAGTCTCTGGGAGACGTTTAGGTGATATTGCCCAGGAGACTGGCACTTACTCAGCTACGGTTCGATCTACTCTTGGTTCCCTCTCCACCTCCATTACAGAAGACTTGCTTTTTGTATTCCCCCCCCGCCCCTTTATTTTTTTAAAGGGGGACTGATCACATTTCCTTGGAAATAAAAAAAAAAGTCGATTGATTTTAGTAATCCTAACTCAGTGATCTAGAGTCAATGGAAATTGACTTCTTTGAAGAACTAGCAAGAAGCCTACGCATTACTTCTGCCCTCACAACAAAGATTAATCAATACTTCTGGCCACACAGGAAATGCAAGTTTGAGCCATGATTTTTTTTTTAACAGATGAGCGAGACCAGTTATGGGACTGGGTTTGGTGTCTAGAAAAATGTGAGAAGCTTAAATAAAATACTCCTCCAATTAGTATTTTATCTGATCAATACCATTTCTGTAATTAAAGTGAAGGTATTTTTAAGTCTGTTCAGCTGTTTATTCATGCCTGTAGTAAATGTTGCATTTACATCCTTGTACTGATTAATACAACTGAAAAAAAAAATCAGCAATACTGTGGCATAACTAGAAGATTTTTTTGAATTTTAAACCTCATCACTGAAACTTTACCATCTCAACTCACTGAAGGCTAAGGCTACTCCTTGTCCAGCTTTTCCTGGACAGGTTTGTGTTCTCTAGCAAATCTGTTTCTCTTTTTTTTCTTCTGATGGAATTTGCAGACTTTAGCCATTAATCTAGGATGTGGCCATAGAGCAGTCCCAGACAGAATGCTACTGTACATGTACAGATGAGCTTTCTTGATGTGTTTGATTTGTTGTGCATATGCAGATCAACTGTATGCAGTGCATGCAGTAGGTCCAGTGTTTCCAGGTGGCAACAAATGCACTGGGCGTTCATGATACAGGGCATGTACACTAGCTTCTGCTTAGGAAATTCTGGCAGCTTTACTCAAAGCTAATAGAAGAGACAAGATTCACTTTTAAAATCATGGATTTCTTCCATGCCAATTTCTAAATCAACAAAATAGGCAGAATATGAGTATGTAGAAGACATAGCATGCAGGAAAAGAGAACAATGACATCAGTGAGAAAACAGTTTAAAATAGGTATGTAAGGTCCTTCTCTCACAGATGAGAGTAACAAAGTGACAGCTTTTTTCCATGGGAGCAATATGGGCCCCTTATATTATGCAATAATACATAATGGTTTAAGGAAGAATTGCATTTAATGCAGCTTCACTTCCAAACAAGTAGAAATCACTTTGTTGTTGACTTATGAAGACAAATGGCATAGCAGGTGTCAGCCACCATACACTTGTTATTGTTCAGAACATATATGTATTTCTATACATTGTTTACAGAGAAGCATGTAAAGTACCACCTGTGGAAGAAGTGCAGCAATCTAGCAGTATGGAAATAAATTGTGTTTGCATTGAGCTACTCTCAAACACTACAGGATACATATTCCATTTGCATCACAAGGTTGAAACATGTTTGTCTTCCATTTGTTTCTTTGGTACCCTTGTGGAAAAGTTCTATAGAATTTAACAAGAGGGGGAAAAAAAAGTAGTTTTATGGAAACTTAACAGTACGGAAATTACTTTTAACTAATAAATATTTCTGATGAGATGATGATGGAAACACACGGAAAATTGACATTAAATTCTACTTAATTTTTCCATAAAGGCATGGAATGGCAAAGAGTGCTATCCTGGGTAAAAATAACAAAGAAATTTGTAGCATTCCATAACATTCTCAGTTCAATCTATTTTTTTGCCACTGAAAAGAAAAACAGCAGCTTAGAATAAAAGGCCCAGTACTGCTCACGTTGAAATCAGTGAAAGTCAAAGTCAGATAGAGGCAAGATCAGTACCAGAAAGTGGTACACCGAAAGCAATAAAAGCAGCAAAACAAGTATATGAACTGTTGATTTAAAAAAAAAAAATCAAACCCAAGATACTTCCTATTCCCATTTCTGCCCTATTTTTACCTGCTTTATAGCTAGAAGTAATCATGCTAAAATTCACTTGTTTTCCTTGGGAGTTAACTATTATTAGCAACACTACCCAATCTCTTAAGAGAAATGCAATGGCTGGGTAGAGATTTGAAGCTAGCAGAAACCTGAAGATTGGGGTGAAATAAATAGTATTTATTACAACATATTCCTTCTCATGTGACACAAACTGCTCTGAGTCCTACAGTTCAAAATAACTCCCCCCTCCCCCCCACATACACACACTCCAAAGCCAAATCCCACCAAACAATTAAAAGAAATAAAACTGATCTTAACAGCAACAAGAGTTGATGTAAAAAAAAGTCTATGTAGTAACCTACAATGAAATGATACCAGTACTTCCAGTTTTCTTTAGGAGAAGCCACTTTTCATATGTTGTGGCTCTTTCTTCGCAGTTGATTGTAGCCATTATCCATTCTTGCAAGAAAGAGTTCAGATATAAATTCAACTCCAAGTTATTCTCTGTTCTGTGAAAAATTAGGGGATAGATCCTTCTGTCACCACTATGGCCAATTCCCACCAACATCAATTGATCAATACTTGAATTTACCCAAGCACTTAAACACTCATGCTTAAGGTTAAGCACGTGCTTGACTGTTTTGTGATAGCAGGAACCTAGTTGCAAGCATAGGATCAAGCTCCAACAACTGTGCTTGAGTTATCTCAGACATAATCTGTGTATTCAAAGATTTCACAGCAGGCTGTTTCAGGGGGAGAAAATCCTTCTTAGGCTACAGTAGAACTGGGGATAAGTAGAAAAACATTCAAAGTATTTGAACACAAATATCTGAAAAATTATCAAAGCAGTTGCTTGTGCACTGCTAGAATCATCATTTTGCCCCCAGTCATAAATACAGGGTAAAAACACTATAAATAAATAGAGCAGCTCACTTTCCTTTAGAGAATGAACACATAAATAATATACATTTTGAAACAAAAAATCATAGTGCAAAAATAAATTATCAAACGGAAGTTGTGAACATTATTTTACACAATGTTATATAAAACCTGAACCATTTGGAATAAAAGACTTTGCAGTTCACTGAAATAATGCATTAACGTTATTATTTCTGCTTCACATTAAACTGCACAGTTTATCCTTTATCCACTAAAAAAATAAAAATAAAATAAATTAAAAAACCTCTTAAGCTTTTTAAAAGGTTTATGGCAAACAAGATCACTTTTTGTTCTATCACATTTGTTATTAATTTAGCAGTGCAGTGATTGAATAATCATCTCAGAGTTCCAAATGGAAACTATTGAAGTATCCATAAACATCCCTTGCTCTTTTTAACTCATTTTCTTTGAAATTCAGGCTTGAAACATCCTGACACTCAAATCTGTAAGACATTATTGCAGTTAGATGAAGTTACAAGAGACAGTCTACAGTCAAGTACTGTGGGAGACTTCACAGCTCTCCTCCTCACCATCACCGTGATCTTGTACGAGACATGAATGTAAGGACACGTCTGATGCCATTCAAGCGGTCTTTGAGGGATTTCATGGCAAGGAAAGGGAGCTGAGCTCTGTTCTCAAGTGGAAGGACAGCTAGGACCCACCAGCACCAGGCTGGCCCATTAGGGTTAGCCTGCAATAAGGGGAAAAAATAGAAGTTAGGATACATATAGATGGTAAGGTCTTGTTTTTGAAGATTTAGCTTTGAAAACACAGTATTTTGGTAGCAATCTAGCAAGCAGGTCATTTCATTGCCAACCTATTGGCTTGTGATTACAGGTTGGCTCGAAACAAATTACAACCAGTTGCCCCTTTCCTAGAAATAGGATGTTGAAGGCAGAAGCAAGATGCATTTCTATTTCTAGCAACAGTTTATAGGTTGGGCCTTCTAGATTTTTTTAATGTATTTTGTTCCCATGTTATTATTGATCCAGTTCTTTGGGATTCCTGCCCTCCCTTCTTCATGCTTTATGACACCTTCATATTTAGTTTCTGTTGTTATATTTGGTTATTTTATGATCACTACTAGTTGCAGTCCTTGAACAAGAGTACCAAGTTTCCTGTTGTCTGTGTTCTCTCAGTCATTTAATTGGGGGAGTAGACAAAAAAGCATTTAAGTCTCCTGGGATTAATACAGTCAGTTAAGTAGTCTCAAGAAGTTACTAATATTAAATAACGAGCTTTTTGTTCGCAGCTGTGCTACCACTGGTATATGGCAACATAACTCAGATACTTAGCTTATGCAGGACAGATGAAGAGTATTCATATTTTCATCTTAAAACACAATGCCTCCCAGCTCATCGGATATCCCTGCTATTTCTGTCTCTAAAAGTTACATAAGCCACTGACTCTGGATACCTGTGGGTCAGGATCCTTAGCTGGCATTGGACCAAAGTGACTGAGAATTCTACTTTTGAGAGCTTGCTTGAGGGAGTTAAACCACATATATGCCTGATCGTAGACAGAATCATGGAGAACAAGTAATGCAGCATACTCTTGTCCTTGCACCTGAAATGAATAAAGAGAGGAGGAAGGTTACTGTTAGTTCAGTCTGCATGTTGGGGAAGGCATGACATTAATTTTTAAGATTTTCTGGGGTGGGTAGGGGAAAGGAAAAGAAAGAAAAGCATGCCAAGAGAGTTCTGGGATAAATCCTGAAAGCTATTCTGCCTGCCCCCCCCCCCAAATCAATCAAATCCTATATTCTAAACCAAAGATACCTATTTGCAGAACAAGCACTTTCTGGATTGCTATATGAGAACACCTTTACATAAACATCGTACAACACAGAAAAAAGATTATGCAAAGCTTTTTTTTTAATTATTATTAGCAGCTCTTCAGAGTAGACATTTTATCTTCCCATTGTATACCAAAAGCTCATACATCACCCAGAATACTTTGACTGACTACATTTTTTTAAGTAAGAATTAACGTAAGTAATTTTGAAGGTGTAATGGACCCAATCCTGCTCCTTCTTACCCGAATGGGAGTTTTTGAATTGGCTTCCATGCAAATGGAGGCAGGTTCTCCCCCACCCCCTTGTAAACTGCAGTTATTCTGTCAAAGAGTAGTAAGATCTCATCCTGGATTCACTTAGTTTTGTCTTCTGCTAAAAACCTCTAGGAAAAACACTCTTCAGTGTACGGGCAGTGTGCATGCATGCTTGTGGTAACTATTTTGTTTCCCATCTGTAACCATGAGCAGTTAGTAAATACCACAAGTTTGTTTTACTAGAAACTGTTCCACAAAAAGAAGAACTCACTGAAAACATATGCTTAGCATTTCACATATAATACAGTTTAAAAAGAAATATTTCTAAATTTACCTTTTGATCCTCAATGTACTCAATATCCGCTGTATTATAGCCATCACGCTGGCTGTGCCGTATCACCTTAAACCTCCTCTTGCCGATGCTGTCTACAACAGAGCGACCATCAGCAAAGAATTCAACATTTCTTATCTCCAGAATGCAGCCATAATCTGCAAACCTATTGAAATCAGAACAAAAGCAAGTAAACAAGTCTTATTCTCTCCACCCTTAGTTCCACAGAACTGCCATACAGCCAGTCCCTACCACAAAGGTATTTACCAGTGTCAGCTCATTTCTATTGTTCACAGTACCGACCTGCTGTAGTTCAAATTATTCCACAATTGTTTTCAAAACTATCAGGAAGATTCAGGCTGTCTAATCTGATTAACACTAACTACATGTTTTGGAATACAGGGAACATCTTGTGAAATTGAAAGTTACACAGCTCAGAAGCACACTTCCTCCGTAATCCTAGCATGTTCAGTCAATTTGTACAGAAGAACAAGTGCAATTCAGAATATTAGAGTTATGGAAGTACTATGAAATCTATAAAGAAAAAAGTTTTCCCACAATTTCAGCAGATTTTACTTTATAGGTGCGTATTTTGTGTACATCATACTTTTCATGGTGTACATGAAAGGAAAAGGGAGGAAAAGAAGGGAGGAAAGCTAAATATAGAGACAAACATTAAGGTCAAAGTACCTAAGACCGACTGTAAATGGCTCAATGTAAATGCTCAGCCAGTCCTTATGAAGGTCCCATCGTACCTCTGCAGCCTCCGCTATATTCAGAACAGTGAGGATAGAAGTGTATCCCAATAGCTTAGCTATTCTTTTCATAATTTAAAAAAACTAAACCCACCAACACACCTTACTGCCATCTCAATTTGATTTCTTGTGCAAAAGCATTCAACAGATTTCAAAACAGTAGAAAATGCACTTCCTTTTCATGTATTACAAAAGGTCTGCAGCTCAACTTTGTATAACATACACTAGCTATGCATGTTTTCAAGAAAAATGGGCAGTAATATTAGTCAGAATCTAAGTGCTCACAAGAGAAACTTCAGCCTTCTCAATGTCTTTAACCAGCATGATCAGGAGGAAACTCTCTGCTGGAAAACTATCACAGATATTACAGCCATGGACCTTTCTGCACCTCTCCAGAGAGACTTGCTCCAGACTAAGTGGTGTAGATCACACGGTCCGAGCACGCTGCTCACTCACCCCTTTACAGGGTCACTGATGCACATCCCAAATTGTTTGGTGCCAGTCTCCATGCACCTTCGAATCATCAGGCGATAACATGGCTCGAAGATGTGCAAAGGGCATGGGACGGTAGGGTAAGCCATTGTGCAGACAAATATAGGAACATTCTTATTTAGGCTGTAATAAAGAAAGGACAAACCAGATTGACATTTTACCCAACTACTGACAAGGTATAAAATACATTTTATGCAATAACATATTATTTAAAATTATGGTATCTTTAAGAATTTTATTCTAACTATGTTATAATTTCTATTTAATGGAGTAAGTAAAAACTGAAATTATTTTCCCCCTTAATTGACTAGATATTATGGAAAGTGATATACCACTTCCTAGCAGAAGAATTTTTAGTTATGCTTTCTGGTTTTGCTAGTGAGAGCATTAATGCATCTCTATTATTGCTTTTATTTACTTTGTTTTCCTTAATCCCATTTCTACCCTACCCAGTACATTCCAACCCCCAGCCTGTGAGACTACTTCCACCTATTGTCTCACTCTGTGGCTTTCACGGAGGGCCACAGAAAGCAACCACATTGCTTTATACCTTGTTTATAAAGCAACCTTCTGGATTTCTTCTATTTCTGTTCATTGTTTAGCAGTGTCCAGTTGTTATGCTAACTCAAAGCACAATTTCACCTGGACCCTGTTCTCTCTGAAATCCCATGATACCAAGAAAGAAGCTCCTCTGTCAGCATCTTAGCTCGTGTTCCACAGCAGCAGGAGCCATTCATCAGCTAACGGCAGTAGTATTAAAGATTGGATTTTACATAAATGGATTACATACTTGGAAAGCTCTGCTATTTCCTCTTCATAAATCTTTCTTCTTTCAGTGAGTTCCTCTGGAAGATACCTAGCTATTAACTCCTCCATTAGTACTGTTTTACAGTATTTCCTCATAGCCAAGCACTGCAGTAAAAACACACACAAGCAGTTATAGATAATGTCTAGCATTTCAAAGTGTACGGTGCCTATGCACAAGGTAGTCATCTGTTAGCTCCACTTTCTTATATCTGTAGCAAAAAATGATCTTTTAACATTGCACTGCCACTGAAGAGACGTTTATCGAACTATTCCCTATGTTATGAGCATTATCTTAGACAATCTGTAGGTGATTTCCCTTCCCAGATTTTCCAAGTACAGGTCTGGCCCTAAGGTTTGAACAGAGAAGACTATCCATGCTTTCTAAGTCACAAGGGCATTTAAAAAAACCCAACACATTTTTCTTAAGTTATGTAATTTTTTTTTGAGTTGGGAAATACCAATGGTTTCTGAAGGTGCTACTTGATCCTATGGTGTGCCCTTGAATTTATGCTGAGAAAATCCAAGCATCCTTACCTCTGAGAGCCCTTCCTTACACAGGGGACATTTTGGGTTGTGATCCAGGCATCTCTCAAGACATTTGAGACAGAAGGTGTGTCCACAAGGTGTAGTGACAGGTTCATAGAAGAGCCTGGATTGGAAAAATCCAAAACCAAAGAGACAACAATATCATGTACCAAAGTAAAACGAAAAACTATTACCAAAAAAGCTGTATTCATTCCCTAATTTAACTACTGACTACTCCAGGGATAAAGCTGTTCCTTGCTTTTAATTTCTTCAACCAACCTTCATATTTATTCAGCTTACAGACTTTTGTATTGCCACCTAATGTGAAAGGCAGCCCTGATTTCAGTGAATGTGAGGCAGAATATTGACTTCCAACAAGCCAGGATTTAATTTTCTTCTATGTGAGCAATAAATAGAAGTATAAGTTGGACCATCTAACTTTTTCTAATGAAATTGAGCAATACTTGCACTATTACTGTGGAGGTCATGTGATTACTTGTATGTGTAAAGCTAAGCACAAAATAGCTATTTGCAGTAATAGCCCACATAAATGATTGCAATAAACTGTATTACTGCCAATTCTAATGTGGACTTGGAAAGCAGTTTTGTTGGAGTAGACAGTTTTTAACTTTCAAATGACTGCTTTTCTGGAAAATAAGTGACATCAGAATCATGTTTCGTCTAGAAAAAAGTATTAAATATATAAGGCCAAGTCTTCAAAGTATCATGGTATCCAATCTTTACCCATTTCAAGTAACTCTGTGATGCTTATTTTCATGTAGCGATTTTTGACTTCATTATTATGATTATGTGATATTGCAAAGTGATGTTTCCTTGCCAATAAGTACCTTAAAGACATAAATAATATAGAAGGTTTTTTTAAATAGAAAATATTCAAAACTAGACATTGTTTGGCATATACTGTATTTTACAACATACTGTCTAAGCATTTTAGGGTCTCAAATATTAGTCCAATTATAATTTAAGTGAATTAATAATTTTACTTTAAATTATTAGTTTATCGAAGCAGTACACTAAATCCTATTATACATGTGGAAATTATAAATACGTAAACCCACATTTATTAGCACCTTTAATAAGATGAGTGTATTTAAGAACCTAATTGGCTCTTAGCAAGATTGCCATAGCCAGTTTATTAAATGTCATTAGTTACTATAAATATTGACATTTAAGCAAGGGAACATATGAAGTATCTAAAATACCACACCTATCTTATTGCAACTTGACTGTATAATTTAAAACCCTTGTTAATTGTTTAGTGAACAGAAACTCACTGCACCAAGGCTACCTTATTGCTTTGAACTATGTAAAATACTGAAACATATTGTAGAATTTAGTAAGAACTGGTTTGCATATGTAATTATTTAGTAGCAACTTACTTGATCTGAAATGTTAGCATAAAGACAAGAAATTCCTGTTAAAAAGCATGATTCTGCTCTAGCTCTCACTGAAGCCAGCAGCAACTTTTTCCTAACTCTAAGGAGACCTGGACCAGCCTCATGACTTGCAGAAAGAAACACTATACACCAAGATTTCTCATGACATCACTTTAAGCTATTATAACAGCAGAAACTAAATATTCACTCTTGCTGAGTAATGCTCCTTCATTTCTCACCAGTATGTTACTTTGACTATCATTTTTTATTTTCTGCTTGCTGCTGGAACAAATGTAGATCGATAACATTTTGGCCACTCCATCGGACAAATAGGTTAATAACAGCTCCTGCAGTTAATTGTGAACAGGTCAGTAGGTTACTAGGTATTAGTAGTATCTCAAGATCCAAATCCCTAAAAATACTTCTGAAGAACGTGACAGGAAATAATTACTATCAGTCTGCATTAATAGCAAGAAAAAGATCTTGTGACAGCTTCCCTTAGCACAAGCCTTCATTGTTGCAGTGATGTTACAAAGCTAGCATCCTTCTAGATGCAAGGCCTGTATTTGTGATAGCAATTACAAGATCAGCACCAACATCCTCTATACTGTAAGGGAGCCAGCAATCCTTGAGCTAATTCTTTTACAAATGTATTGTAGTCTGGCTGTTTCTGATTTAACATAGAGGATGAGGAAGTGGGGCTAATTAATTTTATTAAAAACATCTGAAAAATGTTTTGTGGACATAATGATCATAAACACACAGACTCATTAAAACCAGCTAAGACCAATTGTGTAGCTTTCTGGTAAGAGGGAAGTTTTGCTCTTAGCAGTATCAAGTGTTTTGACAGCTGTATAAACTTTTGGAACACGTTTCAGCTGTAGGCAGACAGAGGGAGAGGGGGCAGATCTGATTTATTCCAAGCAGAAGCAAATCAAACAACACAGCAGCTGTTCCCCCAAAGGTTTCAGTTTGAAGTTGAAGCCTCCCCCAATATACAAACAACAAAACAAAGCAAATCCACATTTCTCCAGGCACAGGCGTTCAGAAATAAATCCATGAAGAGGCTATCTGCTATTTCAGAATTTAAAATATAGTGCAAGACTAACCCCAACACACATTGAGAAACCTGAGTAATTAAAAAGACAAATCTAAGCAACACTCACTGCAGAGGTCAAGACCCCTGTGAAACACCTTCCCAATATTTCCTTCTAAAAAGTCAGTAACAAAACCCCACATGTATATTTGCCGAAATTAAAATGTTTTTACAAAACAAGTAGTAAAATAGATGTAGTTGACAACTCTTACTGTTTTTATCAAGTCACTGCTGTCCCCAAGAATAACTCTGTTATTTAACTGGAAGAAGAGATCATCGAGCAAGTGTAGTGATGGCCTTAATAAACTAAGGAACACATCTCTAAAGCAATAGAGGAAAAACATGTTCTTGTTTACTTGCAAAGTCCTCCTACTGCAATAGCAGCAATACAGTATTTTACATGCAGACTTGGAATATCCATAGGATGTGGTCTCTTTAGCTATTTTGTGCATTATATAACATCATACACAGCTCTACAAAGTCCAAAGGACAAACTGTGGTTTTGTGTACTATGTGTGTCAGGGGGTGAGCGTGTGCAAGTGGTGAGAGGAAATCTTTCCGACACCTTCACTAAAATGCTTAACCCTCACGTGACCTTACGTGTCCTTTCCCAAACAATCACTAGCCTACAGCACATCAAAGAGTTCTTATTCATCGATGACGTTCAGAACCAAAGGTCTAGAAATGCATCATTGGAGTAACAGTTACAATAAAAGCTAATTTCAAGCCAGAGGGAAAAATAAGTACCAAGAAAGCTAGAAAATCTCTAGGTCATAAAAGGTAAAGATGTGTCTTAAAAGTTAGACATCCACAAGAAAACAATGGATACCTCATACACAGGGAGCAGTCCAAATCTGATGGATCCACAAATTCAAATGGAATATGTTGTCCAGCACTATTTCCCTTAGTATCAACTGTATCTATCAATAAAAAACATATTATAATGTGAACAGAACTATGTAAACACAACAGTATTCTGTGTACCTACAAGCAGCATCCAATATTTAAATGTGTAATGTATTCACTTGCAAGTTACTGAACCATTAGCCATCGTTACAATAATTTCTATGCAAAGCATCAAATTCAGTTTTGGCACAAATCAGCATACCTCCCCTTAATTTTGGTGACATTATACCCACTTACAGAGGGTTGAATTTAGCCTTGCATTAACAATTAATGTCAAAACATTTTTTATTAGTGTTGGAAGTCTAAAGTGGGACAAATTCTTCTGTCATACCATTGTAAATACATCCCACAGCATGCAAACAAGGCCAGATATCATGAACAAATGGAATTTGTGCTTTTAAACAAACTTTTTTAAATTGATCCAGAAAGTGCTAAGGCCATGCATGACACTGATGTTCCTTAAAAGACTCAGATTTCTGCTGATAAACAAGTACTTGATCTAACCTTCTTAGCCCCCTTTTTAGACTAACTTTTTTTTTTTAACACAGCAAATAAAGATTCCACGTCATGCCCCGATTAGGCTAAAGAGAAAATATAAAAGCCAAAGTGTAATTTGGACTCTCTTCCTCTAAGTTTTATAAAAGCAAAATTTCCACTGATTGCATGCCATGGAACTTACCCTGTGCGTAATTCAACGTACCTTTCTTCATCAGTTTGCAGGGTACCTCAGCACTTCGCATCTCCTCTGAGCAGCACTTCCTTTTCAGGAGGCTGCACTTCTCAGAAATGAGAAAGGCAGACTCTGGCATGGAGGTGAGTTTGTTCTCCTCCTCTGAGCAGTCCTTTTTGCTCTCTGTAATTTGTATAGATTTCCTCAAACTACCAGAAGTAGTTACATTTGGTTCCTCTTGAATGGGAAAACCCTTTTTCTGTTCCACATTTACCTGTGTGAAGAGAGGACTGACATTAGACCAATCTTCCAACAACTTGGTAAGTAAAAAACCCCAAACCTGTCACAAGTCTTTAATATTATGGATGACCAGGAAGGACTTTGTAGGTCAACAAGCAACAGTTTGAGAATTGCTGTGTCAGGGCCTGACTTTAATGAAAAAAAAAAAATGCGAACTATTTCTACCACCACCACCACCTCCGCCCCGGCACTAAATATCTTCAGCCCTTATGTGTGGCTTTATAGCTTGGTCATGAAACTTGATTCAGGCAGAAATGTGGCTAGATCTCAGGTTAAATATAATGTTATCACTTAACCTATGGAAAAATGCATATTGTTTATATCATAATGATGGTATCAACCATCAAACAAGCAAAACAATGCGAGTTTATGTTAAGGAAGCAGTATAAACATACAAAATTTGTAACAGAGAAAATGCACAGAGCTTCCTTCAGCAAGACAGATTTCTTTCGCAAAGGATAAAATGATCATTCTTTATCCCGTTATGGCTCCAGAACAACCTGTGAGCAGCCATTACACAGGACATCGCCTATCAGCTTGTCACATCAACTCCCCAGATGAACCTGAAAGCAGATACTGTGGATTGTGATCAGGAGCTGTAGTGATGTGTAACATGCAGAAAGATGAGTGAACTGTCCCTCAGATGACTTAATGAAAGGGTCATACAAAAGGGTTTCTTTTCAGAATATCCTAATGGCCTTTCCAGAAGGCGATGTCACCGATTGTTCTTATCAGTCTCAACAGGGCTGCTCAAAACCTACCATTTTTGTTTGTAAGGAACTAGTGAAGTTTTCTCCTACGTATACGGTATATGTAAAACCTATACTCAAAGTTCAGGTTTCAGTGAAGCAAAAGTGGCCCTTACAAACCCATGAATGTGAACTCTACAGCCATTTACAAAACTGTGGCTGTCAAACCAAACTTAAGGAGTAGCTAATATATCTTATGTGTCTCTACAATAACCCCTAAGGAGTGTACAGAATCTGAATGCAGGATGGTTTTGTCACTGACATCATCAGTTACAGTTCAAGCTGAAACCCTCGATTTCAGCATTTCATAGCTTTTGAGGGTATCTCAATCCAATCTCTAGAGGCCCTTTCCCACTACCGACTACTTGGAAGAGCTAAAGACAGGAATAGTACCTGCTCAACTCCGGCATAAAATTTATCAGAACAACAACAGAGGACTTCTATTAAAGAAAAAGCAGTCGGATAAAGAGGCTTCAGTAAGTCAGCATTGTTTCATATGTTCTGAAACTCAGTAAAATCTGAGAAAATGTATCCTCCTATCTCCCAGAGGTGAAAAGGAGAGAAGGTTTCCCAACGTGAACATAAAACACACAACAAATTAAGACCACACATCAGACTTGATCTTTACCTTGAGCAACCTTTGTAGGTTATGGCTGGTGCCTCCAGATCCCACTGAATTTAGGAGATTCCCCTTTAATCTAGAGTGATGTGACAACAGCTGCAGGATTTCGGGTAAGTGTTCCTGAGCATTTCCCGGGATGAGTGAAAACAAACTAAGTAGAAGCTGTGATATAAAACACAATACTTCACTGCTTAGTTCCTTCCTTGCAACCTTCTGAATGAAAAAGCAAGTAAGGGAATAGCTGAAAGAAGCATCCTTGATTCTGTTAAAACCATTTAAAGAGCCCTTTAGACTAGGGTAAGAACAAAAAGAAGCGCAAGAGCTAATGCAATATAGGCCAAACAGACAGCAAGAGACATTTTCAGAGTTAAATAAGCCCATAAAAAGTTATTAACCATTCTCTGTGATGTGACACACATGCCTTTGGCCTCTCGTCCTGCACTTCAGAGCTCACCAGAAATACTAACTTCTTTCTTAAATATGTTTTTTGCTGCACATCAGAAGCGTTTGCTGGAGTTTACTAGTACAGAAAGCACTCATCTCACAGGCTTAATCCAAGTTCAGTGAAGCAAAGGTCTCTGATATTGTATTTTTAATTCACTTATGTGAGAATACAGAAAAAGTAGGCAGTAGCAAAATGCTATTTCTTCATTTGCTACCAGAAAATAAGTGAATCTGTATCAAGTAGCAGCTTGTAGCCACTTGTACGGCATAGCTTATCAGATGATTATTTAAGGAAACAAACAGCTGAATGGAAGATTCACACTTCAAAAACTGATTTCAACATACTACTGAGGTGATCCTGCTGATGCCTGAGGAAGCCACATGACAGCTAAGATTTCTTTTTAAAGCCAAAAAGGATTCCACAGGATCACGCTATATCAAAACTAACATGGACAGACAGTTAATACAAGCAGAACATCACAGCTGCACCCAAAGAATTTGGTAAAATGTAGTATGTCATTGTTATGCAAACAGCCTTGGAAATGACCCAGTAGAACATTGCATCATGGATGAACTCTGTGTCTGATGAGTGCACAAGTAATTCTATCAGCCATAAGAAGCCTAGTTTTTCTCAGAACCCCACTGCTCAGAAATCAGGTGTCTTGGATAAGGCTATCTGGAGTCTGAATTTAGAAACATATCCGTTTGTTCCTGCTCTTCTTGCTCTAGTGCACAGGAAGTCTCCCAGCATGACTATGAAAACAAATCATGACACAATGACAGTGAAAGACTGCATGGAACCCAGTGGGGAAAACAACCAACCAACACGCCCAAATATCAGTGACAAAAAAACCCACTCGAGATGGAAATCTCAACCATATACGAAATGAGATAAAAATTTGATTGCACTACAGCCAACCAGGTTATACTCTCAGTTACCTTCATGAACAGTGCGTTACTGTAAGAATTCTACTGTGCTTTTAGAAAGCCTTACGTATTACAGCACACTAACCCAAAATTCCCATCCCACCAGTGATGGAAAAAATCGTGAATGCACTGCCATAAAAGGAAATTGAGTACAAGGAAAATAGAACTATACATTTTTATTACCATAAGCTATCACTGCGACACTGAGCCTTTTAGCTACGACAACAAAAAAAATGGTCAAATGTAAAAACACCGATTCACAAGAAACCAGAGATTTGAGGGGTGTGCAAAAGAGAGCAGTCTTTGCAAAAACCATTTAAGAATCCACACACCACATCTTGGGCTGCTATTGAAAAAAGCCTCACTGCAGATCCATTTTTTGCTTAATTAGCATTAATTATTAGCGACCTTTAATAAAACTATTTTGAAACAGCTCTTCTTTTGTTGACTGCTTCCTTTCACGCCTCTTTCACTGATACTCAGTGCAGCACGACTGGCAGTAGGAAGAGAGCTGCTGCTCCCAAGTGGAGTCTGACAGGTGCTGCGTGTTGTATCAGGCCACTGACTGGCAGAGCGCAACATTCAATAGCAACTCCCCCTCTTCTGCACTCTGCCGTTGGTAATACATTGCCAAGCTAGGAAACAGATTAGAAATTTGACTACAGGGACACACAATAGTTTGTGGTTGGCAATTATTAACAATTCAGTTTTACTTCAAATTTGCTGACGCTAACACCATGAGCAACTGTTTCCATATAGTGCCTGCCGAGTATGTTTTCTTGCTACCTCCCTATCTTCAAGTAAGCAATACACATAACTCAAGTTTGAACAACAGTCCGGATATATCTCTCCGTCCAGCTCTTTGCAGTAATGAGAGAGGGGAAAAGAAAAGAAAAATTCTTATCCTCCTTTATGAAAGGCCACTGAAAACAATAATGCAGTTCCAGATGATTTAGGGAACTCACCTTTTGTGCCTCAGACTTGGCCGTCTTGTTCCCAGTATCTAGAGCAAGGCAGAATAGAAACTCTCTTAAAGCTTCTTCTGTTTTCCCCAGATTAGCTAATGCTTGTCCTTTCCTTAGGTGACCCTGCAACAAAACACATCCATAGTTGCAGCTTTTGTTCCTTTGTCATGAGAATATGCAATAAAACCAATATGAAATTACAAAAGATCTTTCCGGAGAAGAAAAAGTTAGGCAGGGAGACTGACTATAACCATCTTTTATACCTAGACACCACCAGTGTCTGGGTTTTTAACCACAATGGTCCTGAAAACTCTTGCAGGCAGAACTGGGATATTCTCTAACTCAAGCGACGATGATTCTTACAGCACCTGAGCCCAACTGATCTTGGAGAAATCTACTTCCCCTACATTAATCTCCTGAAATAGTCATTACGTCCTTACAGAATGATATAAGCACAGCATTCAATTTTTAGAGGGAGTTCATGACCTTGTGATTCATCCAGGTCAAAGACAATAGCATTAGCTCATCCTCCAGGATTATCACTCTCTTCCTTCACCTCAGGAAGCTCAAGAATATCATGGTTAAACGTCTGTAAGTCCCAGGAGTCCAAGAAGTTACAGGACTTAAAGCCTCTCTCCGATTCAGCTGTCTGACCGCTCCAATGGTTTTCTATCCAGGGCAGTATCAAGGTTTTAAAACAAAGTACAACTGGAGTCAGAACTTACTTTCAACCAGTATGGCTGGAGTCTGCATGCTGTTTCTGCATCATGCAACGCATCTTCACAAGCTTTCAAAGTAGAGTTGATCTGGGACCGGTTGCTGTATAGTAAGTGGTCATTTGGAGCTGTAAGTAATAGAAAAATTGGTAAATTGAAGTAAATTAAAAACTAGTTACATAAACTTTTTTTTTTTAAACCAAACACACATTGGTGCTTCCAAGTTGTACAAACCCATAAAATACCCAGTTTTTAAATAACTAGGTACTAAATGAAATCCGGAAACCTCTTTGGGCAACTCCAGACAAAATGTCAGCGATGTATTATATAACTGTGGGGAACATTGCATAAATAAATGCTGAGACGCTCACACAATAAATTACCAGCTCTGACTGAGGATCAGATGGTCGATAGAAACATACAGGAGACATTTAAAGCGGCAAGAGGAATACTGTCATACTGTAGGGAGGAGTTTCAAAATTTTTTAGCATCGAAGTTTTTAAACGATACATGAGGATCTTTACGTGCCATAGCTCAAGGCAGGAAAACAAGCGACAACTACAAGAACCAGACAACGCTACAGCAGCGCAGCTAAAGTGATCTCCTAGTTACACACACCGCCTGTTGTAGCATCAGGACATAACGTGTACTGGATTTAAGGCTGTACGCTTTCGTTTGGAACGCTCTGTCGCTTAAACGAAACTCTTACCCGTAGTACCTTGCCCCTAATTTCCACTCATCGCGTGCAGTGCTGGGCGCTTTTCCTCAAACTGGGTGAAAACGGCCGCATCAAAACTTTTCCCTGCGCAACCCCTGCCGGCGTCCACAGCGACGGGGAGCTTTCGAGCCTAATGGTTCGAGCATATGTGTCCATGCAGCAGACCAACAGCAGGCTTATTTACCTCCAACATTTACATGAGAATTGCTTTATGCAGCTGTATGTAAAAATTCAAACCACACAGTGTCACTGTATCACACAGGTCAATCCAAAGCTCAGTGGCATTATAGCAAGAGACAAAAGCCTTACCACTTCACCAGGGTTTCCTTTAGGACTGAAAGTTGTTCTATTAAAAATGAAAAACAACAACAACAAAAATGTGAGCCTATTTCCACTGCTGCCCCCCTTCCAGATTCCCTCCACATTCCTCAAAGGCTGCCAAAATTATGAGGACCTGGAGCCTGATCCTGCTTTTGCCCCTCTCAGCAGGCTGCAGGGAGGGCTGCAAAGGACGTCAGGATTGGGCCAGCTTCATTTTGTGTCTGTGAATAATCCCGTTAGCTGATCCCCAGGCATAGACTTTCTATATACACATTACTGATGGGCAAAGGCAGAAGTGTTCACGGAGGTGCGGTTTCAGTATTTATCCTAAACAGAGGCAGACAGGCTCAGGCTGCTTGGGATGCTACAGGCATCCCGGTCCGTCTGGTAAATTGCTTATGATTGCCTGGTTGTTGGTTTGTTTTTCTCCCCCCAGTTTGAAGGGTCTGTGATATCTCCAGAAAAGCCACAGCTATATGTGCTGTGGAAATACATGCTATATGAATTTCTTCAGAGAAATGGGGAATCCTGTGCTGCAGGAGAAATCAGGATCTTTCAAAATCACCTCAATTATATTCTGCTATGCTGATGGTATCCCACTTCCTGCCATACAAAAAGCAACTCTGCTTCAGGACCCCTAATTCTGACTGTTTCTAAAGTAATCTGATAAGCTTTGACTGGTAAATTCAACCAGTGTTTCTAGCGTGAACATGGTCAGATACAGCATTAGCAGTCTCTGAAGTGGAACTCCCTCAGAAAATGCAAAAGTGTATCAGGGGGAAAAAAGTTACCTGCACTTTTTTTAAACTTCATAAAAACTTTTTTCGTGGAGGCTTGGGACAGTTCTTATTTTAGTCTGAACCAATTATTCAGCCTTAATACTTGGACCCTGGTATGCTTCTGTCTTTGATCAGAAAGAACTTGCCTGAAGGCCAGCTCAAGAGAGGTTCAAAGTCAAATGCTTTGATTTAAACCACTCTGCTCCCATCCATGAAAGAAGATGAGAAGAAGCTCTCTAGTATAAGACACAGATAAGTGCAATGCAGCATGTCAGATGCAGTATTACAATGCAAAGCACACGAAAAGAGATGTTTCGGGGAGCAGAGTGGTTAAAACACAAATTCACCCTAACAATCTGGTGGTTTTGGCAGTGGTAAAACACCCTAGGGATTACAGCAAAATTCTCTAGCCTGTGAGAAACTTCACATATTCCATGGTAATGCAAGAAATAGACATCTTCAGCAAGGACCAAGACTCAGATGCTCATAGTCTGAGACCCTCTGGAACGACATTTATAAGGGTCTGCTAGAAATGTATGGAGGATTGGATGCTGCTGGCCCGTTCCAGTTCTCTGAACAATTCTTTCCTTGAGATATTTTGCTACATCACTCCAAATAACCATTTAGCTATGTGACTATAAAGACCTTTCCAGAGTTTATAAAACTTGGAGCACACTAGAGACCCCTGCCCTAGTATCTTATGAATAGTAGGATGATACCTACTGCCTGCCATGGAAAGGGACAGGACTCAGGCCCAAAAATCACCC